TTTAGTTTAATCGTGCCCAGTGGCGGTCTACTTTTTTAAGAAGAAATTCGTTCGTATTCTGTGCCCAGAAAAAAAATGTCAAGCTTTTCTATCCGTATAACTCAGTCCCATGGCCAATCAGCATGCTTATTTTTTGACATGCAGCAACTCTTCTAGCATGCAGCAACTCACTTTCTTTTTCGCAGCAACTCGTCTACTGGCACAGCAACTCATTTCTCATTAATTCGCAGCAACACGTTACTTATTTGCACAACTCGTCTGACATACAGCAACTGATTTCGTATTTGCAGCAATTCGTAAAACATGCAGCAACTCGTCTAAACATGCAGCAACTCGTTTCTTATTTGCAGCAACTTGTCTAACATGAAGCAACTCGTTTCTTGTTTGCAGCAGCGACTCGTCCAACATGCAGCAACTCGTTTCTTGTTTGCAGCAGCGACTCGTCTAACATGCAGCAACTCGTTTCTTACTTGAAGCAACTCGTCTAACATGCAGCAACTCGTTTCTTGTTTGCAGCAGCTCGTCTAACATGCAGCAACGAACTTGTTTCTCGTTCGCAGCAGCTTGATGCAGCAACCACTCGCTTCCTCAGTTTTCAGCAACCGATAGCTTGCTACATATCCCTTTATTGACCACCGAAGCTTCCAACCTTCCCCATCCATGCAACAATAACAAACTTCATCTAGTGACATCTCATACGGTACGTCGCGTGCAGGGTCACATCCACATTCACACACGGTGCGATTTTCACCTTAATATTTCTTTGATTTCAAAGCCGACTGCAACACTCATTCACACCATAAGGGATTCTCTTCCATCTATTATAGCCTAGTCTGCTCAACTTTTCTTCCCGATCACCAGAACCCGGTCGTACCGTAGGCTGAATAGCGCTATCTGACAGACAAATCTTATACTGACAGTGGATAAATTTATTGGATAACAGCATTGACTTATCCACTGGATAAGGATTTATCGGATAGCGCTATCCACCCTTCGTACAATCGGGCCCTACGAGTTTCTTTTCCGTACAGTCTGAGTGACCTTTCGTCCTCGCTGCGAATGGACCCTCGCCTCGCATAGCTCTTCCCGTCAATTGAACTGTTCTTTTTGCTCCCTCGATCTCGGTCGCTTCCCGTCTAGTCTCTTGTTAAGGAGTCAAGGGTGATGTAGTACGGCAGTACACTCGACTCTCAACTTTGGGGTTAAGTTTGAATTCCATGACTCGGTATCAACACGTGAGTAGTGTTTGTTAGTTCTCTCCCTCTATTCGATGGGTTTTCTCCAGGTTCTCCGGTTTTCTTCCATCTGCCAGTCAACTAACCGTCGCGAAATTCCGATTAGATCTGTGAGTTTCAAGGTTCAATCTGTGAGTTAGCCATGCTCTGACTTAGATCAGTCCAGAGGTTGTTTCATTGTTCGATCTGTGAGTTAGCCAGGCCCTGACTTAGATCAGCCCAGAGGTTGTTTCAGGGTTC